AAAAAAATTTTCATATCATGTGCATGCAATTCTTTTTGGTTAAAATTTTTACGAGAAATTTTTTCCATTAGAAGATAAAAGACAGTTTATAATCTCTATTTATAATAAGAGTTTATATAGATAATAAAGATTAGCTTAAAGGTTGCGGTTTTATAATTTTATAAATTATATAATTATACATATTTATATCATTGTTATAAAATATAAACTGTAAATTTATTTAATTTCCCAATAACAAATTATATGAATCGGGTTGCTTAATATTATCTTGAAAAATTTGTAATAAAGGCCATTTAGCTTCTTGGCTAGTGGCAGAATGAACTGTTTCATCTATTTCCGTCAAATCCAAATCTTCTTCAAACTGCTCATTTCTTAAAAGTATTAACCAATTCGCAACTACTACCTCCCAATGAATATCATTATTAGTTCTATTATCATTAACTTGATCAAGTTCCAAATCTGAATCTTGAGATGAATAATTTTCTTCTGAATCAGAAACTATCGGTAATAAGATATGTGGATTGTGAATTTGTCTTGCTGCTTTTTCAATAGATTTTAACTTGCGTTCTTGCATAAGTTTGCCTCGTAATTGATTCATTTCAAGAACTTTTTTATACTAAAAAATAATTATATTAGTATGCAGTGTAATAATTTATTTAAGTAATATTCATAATTGTAATAATTTGTATAGATGTAAATATAACTTTAAATGCTTTCAAAATTAAATATATACAAGTTTAATTTAGAATTAATTTTAAGTTAAATTAAACTTTTTTAATGATTGAGTGAATTCGAAATTTGTGTATTTAAAATTAATAAGTTAATTTTAAATATAGCAAGATTTTATTCTAACGTGTAGCATTTTAAAAAATTATAGTACTGTCGTAACTAAAGTTGGGATCCAACTAAAGTTGGAACTTCAGTTGACTGAAGTTGCATCTGACTGAAATTAGCCCCGAAATTAGATTATCCTGCACACATTAGTTAGCTGTTTTAGGCAGGTGTCAACTTCAGTCAACTGAAGTTTCAACTTTAGTTGGATCCCAACTTCAGTTACGACAGTACTATCGAAACTAAAAGCATTTTATAAAGCTATAACTTATTTAATAACATACCCCAAGTCTACTTTTTCGCTTATTATGGAAAAATCCCATTGTTGAAAATAATCTCTCAACAGAAGCGCTATTAATGCAAATTCCAAATAAGTGAAGTGCAAAATTTGCAAGTTTCTTATGAGGTCCACATTCAATAAAGGACCAATACTTAATTATATCATTATGAAATTGGTTAAAAAATATAGTATCGAATGGTGAATTATTTGCCAAAAAATCTTCAAGTTCTAATAAAATACTTTCTAGTCTTACAGAAAACTAATTT